GAACCACCAGCCTTCTGGTTAGCAGTCAAATGCCTTAGGCACTATGCCCCCAGAGATCCCTAAAGTACCCTCCAGATAAAAAAAAGATAAATCTCAAAGTTAGCCATGTAGATCAAGAGCACAAAGAAGACAAATACTGTGTTCTCACTACCCCTAACTCTGCTCCACTATCTAAAACATTGAAAGCACTTCAAAAACAAAATGAAGAATCTGCCTCAGATTTCAGTAGGGGTGGGAGGACCTACTGGACTTTGCTCTGAAATGGGACCTGGCACTGGCATTAGGACCAACCTCAACTGCAGCTCTCTCATACTTATCTTCTCCAAATTTCTTCATACAAGGCTTTGAAAGGCACGGGACTCTGTATCACTGAACTTGGCCACAAAGCCCAGGAACTTCTTGCTGGTTTCAGTGTGGAGCTCTGATGGTGTAGTACCTGAGGCATTTAACTGCTAACCAGAAGGCTGGCGGTTCAAACCCACCAGCCACTCCCTGAAAGAAAGATAGGGCAATCTACTTCTGTAGTGATACTACCTCGGAAACCCAAGGAGAAACAAGGGGTCACTATGAGTCAGATCCGACTTGGCGGCAGTGAGTTTTTTTTTTGGGGGGAGGTTTCAGCGTGGGCTCTGGGACCCCAAAGGAATTCATAGCGTGGAGGATCACTGTTGGGCACCTGCTGGTACTCCAGGTACTTTTTCTGCACCAAATCTTTGATGATGAACTTCCTGGGATCCCCAATGATTACGTGCATTTTTCCATTTTTATAAAGATCCAAAACATTTATGAATTCTCAGATCTCCTCCTCAGTGGGTCAGTTGCCATTCATGTAGATCAAGCCCAGAAGAGGCATCAAGAGGCCATTCCTGGGACACCCCCTGCCACCATACACACTCTCTTCCTTGCTAAGTTCTCATTTGCTTACAATGTCATAGTATTGACTCTTGGAGTAGATTTCCTTCAGGTCAAGGCCAAAGACCACCTCAATGCGCTCAGAGGCTCTCCTCAGGATCTCAGGGAATTGCCCCTTGAACTTTTTCATGGTGATCTTTTATCATTTCTGCCTTCAATGGGCTCTTTGTTTTTATACTTCTCCAGCAGAAACTCCAACAACCTGAACACATTCCTGCTGAAAGGATCTCTTTGTGATTTCTCAGTGGGGGGTGAGGCCTCAGAGGACCTTGGTCTTCCCTCCTCCTGGCACTCTGCATCTTCAGCAGCTCTTGTGCAGGACACACAGGCAGCATCAGTGGTGGTGGATGGGACTCTCTCAGGCTCCTGGAGAAAGCCAGCAACAGGGGAGCTCTGGGGAAAACTCCCAAAAGGAGAGGAGTGGGGAGACCCTTCCTGCTCTGCTGCAGTGTCCTGGGCACCTTCAAAACTGTGGGCATCACCTCAGGCCTGGCGACATTTCTCACAGGCCTGGCGATTATCCTTTTGACCATGAGGCATGATGACTCTGGTCAAGGAGAGCAGACCAGAGTGTGGGAGAAAGACAGGTAATAGGACACCCACTGGAGAAGGCAGGTTGAGAGGGGGTGGGTCCCTCAGCAGGGAGATGCCTCTTTGACTAACTATGGCTGGCTAAGCAGGATTCTTGGAGGGTACCATTCTAAGAGCATAGAAGTCTCCTGATCTCCTAGTCAGCCTGTCCCAAGAACCCTGTGCAGGAAGTTGGGGTCAGGCTTAGTTTGCAGTTGCCAGCAGGGGCTGGCAGTGGCAGCACTCTCTAATGGGGTGTTGAGGAGGCTTCCCAGTTCATTATTAGGGCCATCAGATCAAAAGTTGGCAGAACGTGGGCCTAATCCTCTCTGTTACCCTGAACTTGACACCTAAAAGCCCTTGGAGCCCTGGGAGCCCTTGGAGGAGATGAAGGAGTAAGTAGCTCAACTACCATTCCTTGGAGGTTATCTCAGTGATGACAAGAAAGTGGCACTTTTCTGTCCTGGGATCCTTGGGGGCCTCTGTCCTCTCTCAGAGGCCTCATCCTGACTCTGGAACAATGTGGAAGCCCTCCCTGTCTTGGATAAGGCCTATCTGCTCATCCCAAGGCCCTCAGTTTCCAGAGACCTCTCAGGGAGCAGTAACATTTGCCTCACCTGGCTGCAAATGCCTGTGGTTTCCCAAGGCTGATAGCAATGGAGGGATTCTACATTACTCCAATTAGAGTGATTCCCTCAATCCTCAGGGTCCTCACCTTGACTACTGGTAAGCCCTGAAATTCCACCTTCTGCTTATCTTAGGCTGCCCACTTTGACCTGGTCCCTCAACTACCTGAGATGCCCAGGGAGGATATGAGCATGACTCACTATATCAGCATGCCCAGGTCCCCCAGGTATGAAAGCAGGGGTGTCTTTATGGTCTCTCCGTGTGTCAAAGAGCAGTCACATCATCATACCTCAGTGTCCTCACTTTGACTTCTGTTAGAGACCAAATCTCTTGCTCCTGGTGAATAGGCCTCCCCATTAGTCTAAGACTTCACATCCCTGAGACCACCTGCCCCCAAGAACCAACTAGGGAGCACCTCTGCTTGATGCCTCTCACCATGGCTTCCCAGGGCCAACTGGAGAAGGGGGATTTGGGACAGCCATTTCTCTTCAAAAGGGGCTAATTCCTTCTTTCTTCTTTCAAGATTAGTTCCTTGCGACCCACTCAGTTCTAGGATTCCTC